CCATGGAAGTTTGCAATAGAGAATTGCTGGTGGCGTCGAATCTCATGGCAAACCGAGGCTAGCTTCACAATTCTCTGATTCAACAATAATGGCAAGAGCTTAGATCATCAAAGGGGAGTTTTAGTTGCTTTAATTTCCTATTCAATAATTGTTTAACAATTCCTAGGTCTTAGGATAGTTTTTCTGATTATTGGGATAATTGTATTGCTTAATCTGTTTATTATTTGGGGATTATTGTGACTGAATTATTGCTTAGTATTTGACATTGGGCTGTTTATAGTTTTGATCTCAATTATAATGTTGTGGTTATGACATTTGTATTGATTTTGGAATTAATATATTGTGATTTTCTAAGGTGGCTTAGAATTTTAGATCATATAGTCTCTTGCTAGCTTTAATTCTGTTATTTTGGATTTAAGAGTTCTAATTAAGCATTGGTTTTTGGCATCCTTAATCCCATTTTACTATTCTGGTTGCAGTTAGTAAGTTGGGATTTTAGGAAAATATTTTGTGGCAACTCGAGGTGGCTCGGTTGTTGGATTAAAAGCTTAATTATAATTCTTAATTCATTGTTTTTTAACTCCTACATCTTTTAGAGTGATGATTGCCTACATTGTTGAATTGGAGGATTGATTTTTATCAGTGTTATTTGTGTGTCTCATTTTCATTTCTTTAATCTCCATTCATCCTAATCACTTTTATAAAAAAACAAAAAAAAAGTATTTTAATTTCAATTTGATTCGTAGTATTTAATTAACAGCTTTTCAAAATCAAAAATCTCTTTTTATAGTCTAGGTTACTTGCATTCGTTTACTAGGATTTAATTTCGTTTTCGGCTCCTCAAAGTGAAACGACCCGAGTTTTGCACTATATTGCATTAATTCAGTTAATTTTTGGAGTAACCCCAAAGCGACAATTAAGGGCAGTTCAACTTCAAGTAATATCTCAAAATATTTTTTTTTCATTAGCACTATTTCTAAAAGGAATTTTAGTAAACATGAGTATGATGATAGCTCAGCTCCATGATACTCCTTCTGTCCCTTATTATAACATCCACTTAACTATATTACGTAGTTTAAGACAATTATTAAAATTAGTTAAAAATAATAAATATATCGAAAATGTACCTTTGTTTCCAAATATGTCCTCATTTATAAGTGGATAAGTGTGAGTAAGAAAAAACAAAATGTGACAGAATGTATGGAAAAAAGACAATGAGAGAGAGTATATTAATTAAGGGTAAAGTAGGTAAAAATATATTTATTGTTTAGATAAACCTAAAAAGAATCTTATAAATAGGAAGAAACCAATTCGAAAAATTAAATCTTCTAATAAGGGATGGAGAAGTATACCTGTATAATAGGTTAATTTGCCATAATTACGTTATCACCCATTTACCCTTTTTTGGTCAGAGGGAGGGAGAGCGAGCAGACAAAAATATTAATGAGTTCATTTTCAAAAAATATATAGACAACTGAGATTATAAAAATTTAATTAAATTGTCCACCTCACCTCATTTTTAAAAGTTAAACTCACTAACTTTTTTTTTTTTTTTTTGGAAAAATTTTCCCTCCAATTCCCTCGAACCAAACAACTGGGTGGAAAAGGGAACTTGGTCAAAGAAGGACCGGTTATTTCTTTGTACACAACCAATAAGAGGACTTTTAATCTTCTTACCATGTCAATTAGATTTCTTTACACGTATCTATTTCTACAATATGCTTAGAAAACGGCTGGCGAGAAAAATTTCTTAGAAAAGGATCATAGTAGAAACATCGGTTCAGACTTCTTGAGTACCTTAAAATATTTTTCTAATTGTGTTCAATACCTTAAAATATTTAGTGGTTTATCCAACATTGTAAAGTATTTTTGTCAAATATATCCAGTAATTCAAAGTATTTTGTGACATACCTAACTCTCAGAAATATTTTTTTAAGTGTATCAAACACTATAAATACCATGAAACCTAAAGTCTAAATCCTAAATTAAGGTGCTCAATGTACCTTAAAAAATGCTTGAGTGTAGGATGAATAACAAACTATTTTGAAGTGTTGGATGAGCTATGGTACATCTGGATGCATTTAAAAAAAAATATTTGAAAGTGTTGATGAACCTTAACCTTAGAAAAATTATCTTTAATTGAATTCAACAATTCTTAGGGTTAACATGATAACATTAAATATTGAATAATTATATAAAAAGGGTAAAGATACGTACTCCCTCTGTCCCATTTTATAATCAACAACTACCATCTTTCTCTTGTTTCTAAATATAAGCAATATTTGCAAGTTGTCTTCAATTTTTGTAACAAATTTTATATTTTGCCCTCATTAATTACTTATTTTAATACTCAATATATTTGTTATCTTATTTCTCAACTCATCATCTCTCTGTCATCCTTCTCTCTCTTCCATAATTCTCTTTATTATAATAATTTTTTATTCTCTCTCTTATACTTTTTCCCCCCATAAATAACGGCATTTTAGCGAAGGAACTTTTAATTTCTACATACTTATTGTTTTTAACTAATGTTAACTAACATTTTGATCTACATGATGAGTTTCAATGTTGCTTATAAAAAGGAAAAGAGGGAGTATCTAGTAGTATCATAATCTTATTTTTCAAATGTATGCATTATCTTAATCTTATCTTCCTAGTACAACCAACATTCTAATGTTATGTTTTTAATTACATTAACCATCCTAAGAGGTCCAGTACAAATAATATTAGGGGAATCCGAAAAAGAAAAATCAATGTGTTGAATCTAATTTTTAAGCTTGTACAATAGTAGAAGGGAAAATAGATACTCCTCTAGTTTTTAATATAGGACTTAATTGTTAAGTTAATTTTGATCCTAAAAATAAGACCTATTTCTCATATTTATTAATATTTTTTTAAAATTATCTCTATGATACTCCCTCAAACAAGTAAAAGAGGGAGAGAGGATATTAAAAAAAATATTATGGTGTTTTAAGAAAAACACATCATATTTTTTTATAATTAACTAACTTACCTAAATTTTTTAATTTAATTAAATTAGTTAAATAGGTGTTATATTAATGATTGAAGGAGTACATTAATATCCTAAGCTCAAGGGAAAAATATCAACGGATCTGGAAGGCGACTTCCGAATTTCTATATTGAATATTGAGTTGTCCGGTCAGAGTCATGTCCACGGTAGGTGCTTATCGCGCGCCTCGTACCTCACCTGAAGGCTACAAAATATAAGCGCCCTCAGTTTTCAACATCCTACGTGTCACCTTCCCATTCGTTTCCATTTCTTTGTCCCTTTCTAGGGTCCCCACAATTTCCTGAATCCCAACTAGTCCGAGGAAAAAAGCTTCTCCACTCGCAGATATTTCACGTGACAACCACTTGCGGTTTTTCAATTGTTCTGTCTTAAAATTTGAGAATTTTATAGTTTTATAGCCATTATATATATATATATGTGTGTGTGTGTGTGTGTACACTAATAGATAGAGAGTAAAATAATATCACCTTTATTTAAATCATTTGTTATATATCTTAATATGTTTAAGATTTGTTTTCAATTTCACCTTTATTTAATTCTCACTTAAAAGAGATAAAAAAAAGAGATAAGAATGATTTCTAAATATAAATAGACAAAAAAACTTTAATAAAAATTAAAATTTTTTATTAATTTAATGTATTTCCAAGTACGTAAAAATGTGTTACAACTCGCAAATGACTTGTATTAAATGCCGCTGTAGAAAAGTCATGTTAAATATTTAACAATGTGACTTATGAATGGAATCAACCAAAATTCCTCTCTCTCTTGTTTTCTTTCACTCATTCCCTTTTTCTTCACCTTTACTATAATTAATAGGGACAGAATTGGAAATAAGTATTAAAAAAGGTACAGGTGACAAATAAAAATGACCAAAATCCCTTTCTACAAATGACAAATAATAATAACCAGAGTGGTACATCATAAGATAAAACGTTTAAAATGCAAGTTCAATGAGTGTCTCATGGGGAGAAGCCTATGAAAAACAAGAATATATTAAGGATCAACGCACTAATCTTATTTTCTAGGTGCATCCAGCATTTTACTCTTTTGTACCATATATCTAACACCCTGATCTTATTTTTCTGGTACGTCCAGCACCCTAATATTATTTTTTTAGTTATAGCCAACATCCCAATTAGATTAGAGTGCTAGATGTACCAAAAAAAATAATATTCGCATGTTGGATGCATCATACAATGGATCAGGATGCTGGGTGCACCTCAAAAATAGGTCAGGGTACTGAATGCACCTCCATTCAAATATTAAAAACGTTTTTTAGGTTAAAAATAATACTCATATGATCCTATTTATAGGGCAGCAAGAAAAATTTTATGTTTTTCTTCATTCTATTTATAAGCCACATCAATAATTTTAGTATGAATGTATCATTTTGTGCTTCATTTATCGTTAGTTTTGTTATGAAAAGTATAAATATTAAACATGATTAAAGTTAAAAAAATTGTTATATTTTTTTGGTAAAAGAAAAATTGTTATATTTTAATACTGGAGTAACTATTGCTGTTTAAATATTTCTTAATCTACTCATGATACATTAGAAATGCCCTAAAAATACCACAAGAAAAACAGGAACCGAGGCGGACAAAACAAAACCCACTTGAGCTTAGCAAATATAAGTATTCAAAGTGCATCATTCATTAAAAGGGGAAAAAAGCCTCTCTCATTAGGACCTTCTCTAACAAACCTGTCTTCTCCTTCTCCTTCTTCTTCTGTTTCTTCGTCTTCTTCCTCTTACAACTGTTCTGTGAGTACCATCGACCATATATGCACTCTTGATTACGATCCTTCTTTTTTTTGGCTTTTTCCTTTTTAAGTAATATCTTTGGTTTTGGAACATATTATACATATTCCGATTCCTTTGAGAATGGTGTTTTTGTTTGAGATTTTTTTTTTCTGATGAATTTTTGTGTGGTTGATCTGGAAGGGGAAGTATAGAAGAAACCCTAGAGGAATGGGAAAAGCCAAGATTGCGATTGAGAGGATTGACAATTCAACCAACAGACAAGTCACTTTCTCAAAGAGACGAAGTGGTCTGTTCAAGAAAGCAAGAGAGCTTGCGATCCTCTGTGACGCACAGATTGGTGTTATTGTGTTCTCCAGCACCCACAAGCTCTATGAATATGGAAGCTCCAGGTTCCTCTTTCTTCTCCCAGCTTAATTATCTTCGATTATATGCCTTTAGATCTTGTTTCTTTCTGAGATAATTAAACTTTCGTGAATGTGATGATATTCTGTCAGATACTGTGTGTGGTTGTTCGTACTCGATGAAGTTAACCTTTTTTATTTGTATTTCCCACTTTCATATATTCAAGTGTGTATCATGAGATCTTGTAATTGATGCTTTAGTTTTCTCTGTTTTTTTCCTCCCTTTTTCTCCTCATATATCCTTGCTTGTGTGTGTGTGTGTGTGTGATCAACATCCATGCATTTGCGTTTGAATGGTGTTATTTTCAGAATCCCTTGTCTGAATTGTGATGTTACCAGTAACAGACGCTTGATTTTCTCCTACCTTTGTTCTTTCTATTGTGGGTCTCCTTTAATTTAAGACATTATGTAAGATAACTCGTGTAAATTATTTATATATATACTAGCTCCTGTCCTAATTATATATTTTAGGACAGGAGCTAGTATATATATAGACATACTTATAGGTAAATTAGTGAGAACAAACTTCACTTGGCTTCCTGTAAAATAACTATCCAAATTAATCCCTCACCAGACTGGCAAACTTTTCTGGTTAAATTGATCTGCACTGCCATGGCGCACTTGTAGCTAGCTAGCTTTCATAGATACATGTATAGATCCACAAAGCTACAAATACATGCACACATAAAAAGATATCTCTTTTATATCTATATAAGGAAAATTAACCATTTGGTTCTTATAGTTAACTTGATTAGAACTCGCTGAATTTTTACTTGATGCAACTCATTTTTATTAATGTGGGTATGTGTGTGTGTATCAACCTAAGGTTGGTTTTAAATCGAAACATGGTTTGAGATATGAGTGAGTTCAATAAAACGTGTGGTCCGCTGTTCTGAAAGGATATGCAATATTAGTTGTAGTACAAACAAGTTTTGCATAAAGATGAGGAATCAAGTATAAATGTAAAATTATAGTACATCTAAAAAGTCAATAAAGCCGTATTTATTTATATAATAAGACGCATATATATGTATATAGTATAGAGACCTTATTATCTTTTAAGTTAAAAAAGAAGAAGAATGAAACGTAACCTTTAAATTCAAATGAAATATGATGTAATTCTAAAATTATGTATATCCAAGGCAGCCAATTGTTGCTTACAGTTAGATACATTTCTCTGTGTATTGCGTAATTTAATGAATGAGTCATGCATGCATATTATTCATGGCTTGTGCATAATGCAACTCTTATATTAAGGACAGAAGATAATATTTGCAAAGACTCTGTATCATTTGATTTGTTCACAAACGTAATGTATATTGACAAAAACTTAATTTAATTTTCATTTGGTTGATTGGATTCTTTGCTTAATATTGGCAGCCTGAAGTCAATTATTGACCGATACACTAAGCAAATAGAGGAACATCATCATCCACTCATGAATTCCGACTCAGAAGCCAAGGTACAAGACCAAATGCTGTTCCTCTAATATTTTTCTCCCTCTCTTGTTCTCCAATGCCCTAAAGCCAACTTCAATTATATTCCCAAATGTTGATATCTCACGGCGATCAAATAGTGTAATTTTCAATTTTTTAATAGCTTTTAAAAAAAATGCATAATTTTAGAGTATTTATAAGTCCTGTTCAAGTAATGATATCCATAAATCATGTATAATTGCGAATGTAAGTGTGGTTGTATATTCTTGCACCTGTCAAGGGAAAATGGGAGAGGAGGTGAAGAACCGCAGTCCATATGTTGATTCTATATACATTGCACATCTGTAGTTATAGGCCTTACTTATATACTGCCTTTAGTCTTTAATATAAGAGCTAGACAACTAATATTGGGAGATTAAAAAGGTTAGTTAGATTGGGTAATTGTAATAAAAATGTGTTGACTTCTCTAAACTATCCTCTTTAACTATGTGTATTATTAACTATCTATTAGTGAAAATCTCTTACAAGTTACAATCAATAGGGATAGTTTAGAGAAAACATTATAAATTTTAGAGACAAAATGGATTGAAGTCTATATTTGGGATCAAATTCAATCTTCAACTAACTCTTATATTAAGGATTGGAAGTAATCTAAAATATTTCTCAAGATAACTATATATAACAGACTAAACGAACATAACTACCATATTACTCTCAACACTCGTTTTCGTCATTATTATCGAGTTTTATGTGTGTGATTGTAAACATTCTTTCAAGACTGCTACCTAAATCATAGTCTGCTTGCTATGTCGGAATTTTATATCTGGCCAATGTGAGTATGTGGACCATGTAATCTACGCATGGCTCGCTAGAATCATCTTCATGCTTATGAGTTAGATATTCATTACTTCTTCCTTATGTTCTTTCTTTCTTTTCTTTCCTTTTTTTCTTTTGGCTACAATGGAGCCGTTAGTATCTGGATCCTATTATCTAAAATCCAACTAATTCTGCTGGACATGACTAAAGTCCCTTACCCTATGTTTGGTGTGAAGGAAATGGAGGGAAGGGGAGAAGAGGGGAGATAAAATTTTAATGAGCTCAATTTAAAAAATTGAAGAAGTGGGGTTTTAAGATTTTAATAAAGAGAAGATGTAAGATAATAGAGTAATAAAAATTAATTAAAAGCTTTTAACCCCATTTCTTTAATGTTTTAAATCAAGATCATTGAAAATTTTCTCCCCTCTATTTACCTCATATCAAACGGACAGTTAAGGGGGTAAGAATCTCCTACCAAGGGTTTTTCTTGTGCCCAGGGATTGAACCTGATACCTCTAGCTAAGTGGCCCAAAGTACCTACCACCTTAACCATCCACCGTTGATCTTCTTCCTTGCATTCAATATAACATTTTTCTGCTGTATTTATTTGATATATATCTGTTGTTGCACTTGGTAGTTTTGGCAAAGAGAAGCAACGATCCTGAGGCAAGAACTTCAACATTTGCAGGAATTGCACAGGTAAGAAGAAAATCAGATACAATGGAACGAGAATTGTTACATGCTGCTAACAAAATGTTGATCTCAATACACACTACTTTCCAACCCACTCAACTATTATGAGCTTTCTTCAAAACTGCAAAATTATTTCATTCCCTTTTGAATATAATAAACCGGAACTATTTAGCAATAAACCCCAAGTAATTTATTCCCTTTTGGAAAATGCAGGCAATTGATGGGTGAACAACTTTCTGCTTTAGGCATTAATGAAGTGAAGAATTTGGAAAATCAACTGGAGATGAGTTTAAAACGTGTCCAGATCAAAAGGGTATGATAGTTCAGTTCAACTCAGATCTTCAGTCAATTTAACATCTCATCATTCAATTTAACAACTCAGACCATTAAGTTATCCGCAGGATCAAATCTTAATTGATGAGATTAAAGAGCTGCAGCAAAAGGTATTCAAGAAATTCTGTTTCTGATCTTGCCGTGTATATATGAAATGCATTTCCACAAATCCTCACTAATTTATTGATCCTATATTGTAGGGAAATCGAATCAGTCAAGAAAATGTTGAACTCTATGAAAGGATACAAGTTATTAGTAAAGAAAATGCGGGGTTAAAAAAGGTGATTGAGTTGATAAAAAAAATTTATGGAGTTAGACCGTATATTCATCTTTTCATTCAAAGTATTTACTCCTCTCACAAGTGCGCGTATATATGTGCGTGTGCGCGCGCGCGCATATCCAATGAACAAGCTTAATGAAGTTTTTTTTTATTTATATAATTAGATTTATGAAGCAAGGGTTATGAATGAAGAAAATGAGAGATTCAATCTGCAACTGAGCCAGCCAGAATCTCAATCTAGTGAGCCACTAACCAAAGCAATGGAACAGGGGTATATCGTATTCCTTCAAACTGGTGAATAAATTTACAGCTTGAATACACACAAACACACATAAATATTTTTGTGTTGTTCATTCTTAAAATTACATGCGTTTGATTCCTATGACAGATTACAGCTGCTTTAGCAGTAGCTCTTTGACAGTCTAGGGTTTTCAGACAACAACTTTGCTGTTGGAAGATCAGGTTTCAATTTCTAAGGGGGAGATAAATGTTTTAATTCAAAAAGATAGTTATTAGATAATAAACTCATCAGGAATAGCATCAATGCATATTTAATCAAATGTTTCTGTTATATATGGATCAGACACATTCGATATATCTCTGTAAATTATATAAATATATTAAAGCCATCAAATGTTTGATGTGATCAAATGAATGGAATTTGGACACCGAAGAATCTTTGTTTGCATATACTGCTCTGTTCGCATATGCAACTCACTTATAGGAAAAAAGTTTGAATCTAGATATAAGTCACTTATAGGGTAACTAATGACTTTTTTTTTTCCAATTTTATTCCTATTGAATACGGTAATAAAAACAGGCAAGAGATAATGTACAACGTATTTTTTAGAACCTTTTCTTTAATAGGGGCAGATGTGAAAAATATTATCAATTTAATTCCTGTCTTGGTATGCGAAAATGTCGTACAAGCAACTTGCATATAAGAAAAGAGCAATATCTTTGTTAAGGAGCTCAATATCAAGTCGGGTTTGGGGTCTTAAATAAAGAAAAGAAGGAAAAACATGTTTGGAAGGTTGGAGGCACTACGAAGAACATTGGAAAAAAGAACATTAGAGGCCCCAAGTCCAAATTGGGGGGGGGGGGGAAGCTCACTCTTCTCGCATATGGAGAATCTTACATAAAGATATTTAACTAATTATTAGTTCAATAATTAGTCCAACTCGTATTTATCAATATGCATGGTATAATAACAACAACATTATTTACACCACACCGAAATAATGATTTTTTTTTCCAAATCAACATTATATTGTATAGCATAATAACCCCCATACAATATATACAAATTGCTATAGCAGACCAAAAATTAAAAAAAGGGTACAATATCGGAAATTACTCATTCCAGTCCTTACTATAATTAATAAAACCTAAAAGAAAAATCAAATTGATAACTAATGAAGTCTAAAAATAAATCTAAAAGGGAAACTAAATGAAACGATATGGGAATTGACGCGTGTGTCCTCAGGGTTAGTCTCTTTCCTCTTGTGCAATATAAGCCCTTACATTAATCTCCACTCTCCAATTGATTAGTTGGGTCATAGATGCAATTGTCATACTATCATGTAAGATCATAATCGAAGGAAATTAAAATATTAGGAATTAAAATTCAATAAAAATATACATTTAAGCACTAAAATTTCTAAAATACCCTTCGCAATTAAGACTAAATTAATAACTAATTTATAATGTCAAAAGTCCAATATATGGGGAAAAAAACATAAGAAAATAATGGAAATTGTCAATGAAATCCTGACTTAATTCTTTCTTTATTAGCTTCTCAAAGGACAAAATAACGTCTCATACCTACTAATGGACAAATTATCTCATCAAATTTGACCATGTAAATAACTATGTACAAGTACAATACAAAAATTTTCAAATAACAAGAGTACCTAAGAATCGACAAATATTTATGAGTAAATGAACAGTATAGCAAACGTACATTCGACGGTCAAAATAAGCTTCAATATTTTCATAGGAACGCACAAAACATATGTACTAGAAATATACATAATTAAAATACTAAATCAAGGATTGTTTAATTATTACTTCGCCCAAGAAACAAATTGTCAGTTTGTCAATGTGAACGCAAGTGTGAACGAATAACAAATTATGTGTAGCAATGAAGCTATAATCAGTCTAGCTACTTTCTGCCAAACATTTTCAGTAAACAATATTTATAAGTAAATAAACAATAATATACCAACCGATGTAGGTACATCGGAAGTTTAAATCAAACTTCAATAACTTTATAGGGACATATAAAGTATATGTAATAAAAATGTACATAATTAAAATACTAAATTGTGGATTTTTTTTTTAAACTCATTTAGCCAAGAACCAAACTGTCAGATTGTCAATGTGAACGCATAATAAATTATATGAAGCAGTCAAGTTATTGCCAATTTACATTTTACCAATTAATTAAACAGGGAAATGAGGCAAGTTAAGAACTTACAAGAGCAATTACTATTCGATTCGTCCTGTCATTTAATAATAAATAAATAAGTAAATAATTTTTAAAATCAATTATCAACAATATAATGAAGCATAGTGCAGTCTTTTTTCTTTTTTTTTAATCATCAGAGTTTAGACAAAGTAAAAGTGAACCCTGCCGTCTTAAAAATTGCAACCTCCCTCTTGGGTATTGATGACCTTATGACAAGCATGCGTATGGTATCACAGGGCTTTGCATTGTATATTTCATAATTTATTTGGAGAAATTAAGATTAAGAACTTACTTACAAACATTTTTTAAAAATAAGAAGTTGAATTACAAAATATGGAAGAAAAAATTCATGCAGCCGATGAAAGAAAAAATACAGAAAATTAAAGATAATCAGTGTTTTTTTTTTTTTTTTGCCTAGGGCTTTAGTTTCAAATATGTTTGCCAATCTCAATCTCAGTTTTCTCTAATTTATTGGACTTAACCTCTAGGGTTTTGTTTTATAATTTATTGATACATTCTTGCGATGAGAATATATAAAAACTAGCCATATATTTTTCTTATTGATATGAAGGATGAAGAATAAGGTTATAGACTCTGCAGGTCTTGAGAGTAAAAAGACCCCCCCAAAAAACGTTATATATATATATTTATTATGTAGTATATTGATGAGTTGGTTGGTTATATATTCATATGTATAAAACAATTGTTAAAGTAAACATGGAAATTGATAGATTTTTTAATTATTATTTAATCAAATCAATATATACTAATCATAAACATGAATCCATAAATCCACAGCTCCTATTTCTTTTACTGTATATGTCAGTCGATTTTATAAGTGTTTTTTTTCTGCTGACAATCTTTATTTCATTAGAAAAATTCAAAAGCCTGGCAGTGTACGGAGATTTATTCTAGTTTAGCTCTACATTTGGCAAGAAAATGAGAAGAATGCAAACGTAGCAAACTATTCTCGTTAAACGTAATTCAAAAATAAAAAATATCTCGTTTGATAAAATGCTATAGATCTCTTAGTGTAATTACGTAGATGGATATCACATATATGTTTGTCTGCGTCTATATATGATTTCATAAATTGCTGAAGCGGCTGAATTTTAAAATATGTTAACTATTGAATCGTTGAACCTTACTTAAAGCTTCTTAATTAAGCAAGCTCGTTAGTTTCTCTCTCCAGAGCTTCTCTCTCCCCCTGTGAGAGTTAGCTACAGCAGTTACTTGCTGCCTTTCGCTGTGTGATCTTCACCGCCCACTGCGATGGAGCAAGGAGAGTTCCGAGCTAGAGTTCATTGCTCTATCTTGGAGTGTGAGGTTCTTAGTGCTTGAGGGTTATAGAGGATTCGATGGATAGATCGGAGATTGGTGAGCTAAGAGGAAGAAAACTAGAAGCGAAGCTGGTATGGAAATCTCCGAGGCAGAGGAAGTTCTATGGTGGAGCATTAGCTGGCAAGCTGATGTTGATCAGGAATCTGAATAGATTGACGGTTATTCAAATGATCAGGAAGGGCTGGAATCTTCCTAAAACTGAGGATCTAGAAATTATTGAGGTTGATCAGAATTCTTACATCTTCAAATTCCGCCGTAAAGAAGATCAGTTGAGGATTCTGAGAGGACGACCTTGGGCAATTCAAGGTCAGCTATTGAATGTTCAGGTTTGGCAAGAATTTATGATATTTAGTGAAGTAGACTTCTACAGCTGCCTGTTTTGGATTCAATTCCATGATCTTCTGTCAGGAGCCATGGATATTGAGAATGTTAGAATTCTTGGTTCGATGATTGGTGATGTAATGATGATAGAGAATCCGAGGAGAGATAATCTGCTAGTTAGAGGTTTTTTAAGAGCAAGAGTAATAGTGAATTTGTGTAAGCCTCTAATTACTGGTATGTGGACGCCAAGACCAGGATTAGATCCAGTGTGGATTAAAATCAGATATGAGAGTTACAGCAATTCTGCTACTGCTATGGTCAGATTGGTCATAACCAGAAGAACTGTTCCTTTGACTCTGATGAGGTTGACGACACTAAAAGAAGATTTGGCAGTTGGTTGAGTACTCAGGTACCACGGCCTATTGAAGATATTGTAGTTTGTGAAATGGAAGGCTAGGAAGAGTATGAAGCAGGGGTGAAGAAACAGACTAGTAGTAGTAAAGAGGAATTCCTAACAGAAGATGAAGGAAAAGGGAGAGCTACTCTGGTAGTAAAAAAGAGGAATGATAGTGACCAAGGAAAAAATGGCAAGAAGATTGAAATGCCTACAAAGATAACACCTATGAAAAATGATGAAACAAAGGGTCAACAAACAGAAATAGCTGTTGCTGAGGTCTCAAGTGGTGATTTGAAAAATGAGGCTTCTGTGATCAACAAGAAAATTGTAGATGATACCATCGGGGGATGGAACAAGGCAACAAATACAGATTCTCCTGATAAGGTTCCAGTTGATATGTCTAAAGCAATAGTTGTTTATGGTGCTGTGTCGCCTATGTCTGAAGTTACAGCAGGATTGAGGAGCGTGATTCTGAAGAGAGGATTGGAAACTGAGGAAGATGAATTAAACCTGAAGAGGAGAAGGCTATGTTTTGATGATTCTCCAGGAAATATGCAAATAGAGACGAAAAAAGAGACTATTCTTCCCATAAGAAGAAGTGTGGGGGCTGTAAAGCGACACATCAAAAGAAACAGTAGGGGAAAGGGAAGCTTGTGAAGTGTGTGTGAAGTGTGGAATCAAGCTCTGACGACACTAAAGGTCTTGGTGACTGGCCTTAAACAGCCACCAAGGAGCTATGAAACTCATATCCTCAAATTGTCAAGGTTTGGGAAGAGCCTTGACAGCCAAAAAACTGAGGGAGGAGTGCCTCAAGTATAAACCCTCAGTAATCTTCCTAATGGAAACAAGAAATAAGAAAGAAAAGTTGAAGAAATTAAGAATTCAGTGTCATATGGAGGAAGAATTCTATGTGGAGCCTAAAGGAAGGGGAGGTGGGCTAGCTCTATGGTGGACTCGGGAGGTGATGATCAATGTTTGGTCGCATTCAGCAAACATCATTCATATTAGTATGTCCTCTAACACTTTGAGGATCCCAAATTATGTTACCTTTGTTTATGGTTCTCCACC